TAAAATTGACGTATTCGAGGATTTTTGAAAAAATTGCTTGGAAGAATAATTATTGAATTTATTCCTTACTTTACGGCCGCACTGTACAATCAAAAATTGCAAAATAACGTCACATTTTTTGTTTTAACGGTGGAGTATTGGTACACAAAAACAACTTCGGTTTATTGCTGATGGTATAGTAGGACTAGTGGCTAATATTTTTAGCAATTTTTAAAGTGGCACAAACAGCTATGTAGAAACTACAATCAAAAATTGGGAAAAATCACGGTTTTTTAGATTATTTTGAGACATCACACAGCGAGGTGCGAGGCTTTACACAAAAATCAATTTGTTTGGTTGCTAACATATAGCTATTTCCAAAGTGTCTCAAACAGCCATGTCAAGACTACAATTGAAAATTGGCAACAATCACGGATTTTGAATTTTTTTCAAAGATTTAGGGCCGGTTTATTCACTTTCTGATAAACTGTCAGGCGTACCTGATTGCATAAAATCTGACGGATAAAAACGCAATCTGAATCTGGTAATTTTATTTAGTCGGGTGATCCGCCGACCAATAGAATTATATAGAACGGTTAATTTATCTTGTAGATAGTTACCAGCCAGTTTATCTGAAAGATGAATAAACCGAGCCTTAGACGACTGGCCATTACACAAACACTTTGGTTGGTTGCTGTAGGTTTGTTCCAGCAGGCTATCAGAAATGTTGGCAGCAGCTTGTGACATGCAAAGCAAAGAAATGTTAGTGACAATTTGCAAATGACAGCTGTTTCAGCAGATGTTTGAAATATTTATAACGTGTTGGCAATTGCTCAAAATGCTTGTTGATTTTCTTCAAACATTTTAATTCCTAACCTAACTTTGACCTTCATCTCTGATCAGGGTTCCACCTTTGATCGATTTTTTCATTACAAAATAGGGCAATCCAATGAAAATGGCGGCCAATGCCAAGCGGCAAGCAATGAAATTGGCGCCATAAATTTAATTCAAACAACCGGGAAATTTTTCATCAAAAAATTGTTTTTTGTTTTTCTTGTGGTGTTTTAAGGTGATTTTTTAGTGTTTGGAAGGATAATTTTCGAATGTTGAGATGGAAAGTTTTTATTTCATGAAGTTATTAGTGGAAAACCCGTATGTTGGCAAAAGATTGAGACTTGTTTTTGACAAACCTTTATCTACTAATTAATAAGATACCTACTCTCCAGGATTATTTGTTTTCTGTTTAGTTTTTTCTCAACCAAATCTTGAAGGTTATTGTTTGCTTTTCAAGGTATCAACACAAGTTGAGGATAGTGAATGGCTTGGATCCATCATACAACGATTATGTGGAGAGCCTTTTCGGTTTTTTAAAATGGATTTCATCAGATTTTTCCTCTCAATCCATGAAGCTCTACGAAGTACAGACAAATCTTTTTTCCGTTAAATCTGTGTTTTGTATCTGCAAGGAACGGCATAAAACGAGACTTTGTCGCTTTCAGAACGGCTCCCACAACTGAGTACAATACATAGCGTAGGCATTTTTCAAAAAATCAACACTCAACTACCTTACAGACTTTATACAAATCAAAAATCACAATAAAACGTAGTGTATAAACCTCAATGGTATAAACAAACACACCTCACAGAGTAGGTGCAGACGTTTGGCATTGGCCTCCATATTGAACTTTTTTTTTGATAGCTCGTTGGATTGCCTTATTGGGAAATGTCAAACATTTTCGTTCCAGCAGAAATTTCTTGCCAACTTAAAAACATCTGTAACCAACAAATTTAACTGTTAGGTTAATGTCACCAACATGTTTCCAACTTTTTGCTGGAGCAAACCTACTGTTGCTAGTGGTATAGTAGCTAATCTTTGCTTATACTTATTAGCTAATAGCCAAAGTGGCACAAAGCAGCCATGTAAAGATTTTAATTGAAAATTGGTGAAAATCATGACTTATTTATTTTTTATTAATTTGTTTGGGACCGTTCAGCATTCTATTACTGTTCTGCCACAATAATTTTATTGGGTCATCCCTCCATTCATCCATACTTTTTCCAACGCTCTCCATGAAAGGATATACCAGTATGCAACCGGTAGCTAATAGTCGCCTAACCGCGATTCGATAGTTTTATAGCTGAAATTTAATGGATAACTTCACTCTAACGTGACAGAAGTGGCGACAAAATTGGTGTATTAATATGAGATAGTTTTGTGCAATAAATGGCGTTATCACTAGTGGAATAGAGAGCTAATTCAGAATTTCAGAGAAGTATAGTTACATTGATTTGAGTTGACCAATAAGTGAACTTTTGTTGACTTAAGTAGAGACTTCATCACAATCATTACCCACTGATTTTGGCATCGAAATCCACAGTAATTTTGCTAGAACATCCCATCGTGTTCTAAGTATCAAAAATTAGACAAGGAATACCTAACTGTGGTGGAACACGGAAATTTTCACTTCGCCATCGGACTTTATATTTGAATGCAAGTTTCAAGAAATATACAGAAATGCGGTTTGTTCTGGGAGAATAAGGGTTTTTGATGTTTTTTTTTTTACAGTATTGCCGAATCCTAAAATTTGATGAAATTTGGTTCTAGACATGCAATTTTCTGAAATAAAAATACTGCTTTATTTTCAATGGAATACCCTGTATATTTTGTCAAACATTTATATATTTTTTTAATTATCTTGAAATTGCATCGTATAAATTGTACTTTGTTGTCAAGGTTTTAATTAGTGGGGTTGTTTCGCGGGTTGTTTTGTTCGATAAAAAGACCCTGCAAAATAAATCCTGATATAGTTTCAAGTCCCTCTGATTGCTTCAAGTATTTTTCAGAAGCTTCCAAATGTGACTTAATAAAAAAAAATTACTTGATTTTTTTACATAGGTGAGAAAAAAAATCATAATTTCATTTTTGAGGCTGAGACCCACTTCTATTTTGGTTTGTTTGATAAAAAGACTATACTCAATAAATTCTGAAAGTTTGAAGTCCCTCTGATTGCTTAAAGTATTTTTTTAAAGGCCTTCAAAGGTGATTTATTAGGATTTTACTTGATTTTTTTTGCATCTAAGTAAGTAAAAAATTCATAATTCGATTTCTGAGCGGTTTTTTGTTCGACATAAAGACCCTACTCAATAAATCCCGAAAGTTTGAAGTTTCTCTGATTGTATATGTTTCAGAAGCTTTCAAAGGTGATTTACTAGAAATTTAACATGATTTTTTTGCATCTAAGTGAGTAAAAAATTCATAATTTCATTTCCGTGCCTGAGATCTACTCGCGGTTTGGGTTGTTTCATAAAAAGACCCTACTCAATAAATCCCAGAAGTTTGAAGTCCTTCTGATTGCTTCAGTATTTTTCACAAACTTCCAATGGTGATTTAATAGAAATTTTACATGATTTTTTTCCCTCTAAGTGAGTAAAAAATTCATAATTCCATTTCTGAGCCCGAGATTCACGCGCGATTTCTTTTGTTCGCTGAAAAAACCCTACTCAATAAATCCCGAAAGTTTGAAGTCCTTCTGATTGCTCGAAGGATTTTCAGAATCTTCCAAAGTTGATGTAAGAGAAATTTTAAATGATTTTATTGCATTTAATGCAGAAAAAAAAATTAATAAATCCATTTCTGAGCCTGAGATCCATTCGCGGGTTGTTTTGTTCGATAAAAAGACCCTAATCAATAAATCCTGAAAGTTTGAAGTCCCTCTGATTGCTTGAAATATTTTTCAGAAGCTTCCAAGTATGAGTTAATAGAAATATGTCGATTTTTTTGTATCTAAGTGAGAAAAAAGTCATAACTTCATTTCTGAGTTTAGGATCTACTCGCGTTTTATTTTGTTCGATAGAAAGATCCTACTCAATAAATCCTGAAAGTTTGAAGTCCTTCTGCTCAAAGGATATTTCAGAAGCTTCCAAAGTTGATTTAATAGAAATACATGATGATTTTATTGCATTTAAATGATAAAAAAAATCATAATTCCATTTTTCAGTCTGAGATCCATTCGCGAGTTACTTTGAAATTGATTGTTTGAAATATTTTTCAGTAGAAGCTTCTAAAGGTCATTTAATAGAAATTTTACATGGTTTTTTTGCATCTAAGTGAGAAAAAATTCATAATTCCATTTTTGTGCTTGAGATCCCCTTGCAGTTCATTTTGTTTAATAAAAAGACCCTACTCAATAAATCCTGAAAGTTTACAGTTTACAGTGTCTAATAGCCTGAAGTATTTTTTTTTTTTTGACCAAAAGGTCCATGAAAAAGTATCACATGGGATCCTTCGCCTAGAACTCTCTGAGGCGAATTTCAGCAGGCTCCAATATTATAGGGAATTTGGCATTTTTTAAATAATTGTTGACCAACTTTTGGTGCATTTATTTCCGGATACCCTGTATTTTTAAAAAATATATACACAGTTTATTTTTTCCCAAAATAGATTTCGACATTGTCAACTTTGAAACATAAACAATGCCGCTTATTGGTCACAAGATGGCATTTGCACGACATGCATTGTAAAACTGATGTCAACCTGCAGAGACACCTGATTTTGCGACCAATCAGGGCCAAGCGGCATTGTTTATGTTTCAAAGTTGACAATGTCAAAATCTATCTTGAAAAAAATAAACCATAGGTACATATATGTACAGTAGGTAGTTACGTACTTGAGATTAATAAAAATCAGCACAATTGTATTCAGTCAACTAAGTTGAGCGTTTTTTCTCTATTCCTAATACTTATGTACTCCTTTTAAAAAATATCTTCTGTTGGTCAACAATTATATAAAAATTTCCCAAAGGCTTGGTCCTGGTAGGTTGCAGTGAAAATGAAACATGGGTTTAAAATATCTTATTAATTTATTGCATATAAAAATGAAAAATAAATAACAAAATTGCAGGTAGGTAAATAATTTATCATGTAAAATAATGGTTTTTAATCAATTACGTAGAAAAGCATTTGTATAGGAATATAGGAACTCATGTAACAATAACATTCTTTTGAGTGTTCCTATCCTAAAGGGCTTATAAAGATATTTTGATGATGCCTTAACTACTATAAAATAAACAACAATATAGGTATTTGTAAGACAACCTAAATTTTATTATCTAGAAATGTACAATTTCAGCTCTATAAGCTTAACATATTAATCAACTTATCACTGAGAGAAAATACGTAGATACACTGTCTTTGGCATTATTGTTAGTAATAATTTACAATATTTTACATACAGATCCAATAGCTTACGATTCCGACTTATATGGTTGAAATAGTTTTGGTTTTTCTACATTAGGTAACTGAGTTTGTAGAAGCGGCATCTTCACTGCTGGCATCAATAAGTTGTCATGCACTGGCGGACTTAAACTAATTTCGGAACGATGCGATTGATGTGAATCGGTCGGAGAAATTTTTTGGTGAATTTGTTGATACGATGGCATATCACCAAAATTTAAATTGATATTCAACCCTTGGGGAAGTTGATTTTGCGATAAGCCTGGGGGTAATCCAGGACCCCCAGAATTTGGATTAAAGCCTACGTTTGATGGGTGATGCAAGAGTCCTGGATTTGCCATTGAAACTCCACCGAAGGTAGGGTAAGGTGAATACCTGTGGTAGTGAGGCGGATACATTGCAGACGGTGGAGGATAGTGAACTGTAGAAGCGGCTGCTTGAAGTAACGATGCCGCAAAAATCGGGTCACTATAGACTGCAGCATAAGGCCAAGCAATTGCCATTCGTTGTCTTTTGTCTTTCATTCTTCTATTTTGAAACCACACCTGTAACAAAAATTAATTAAAATGTGAAGCAATTAAAAAATAATTAATCTGTTTGCTAAAATTGCTTTTAAAGCAATAAAAATTATGTTTTATTCATATGCAAAGAGAGGATAATTACTTATACAAAAAAACGAACAATAGCATGCCTTAGTACCCCCAATACCGGCTTTATTGCCTTGATCTTTCTCAAGTAGTTAGCACATCATAAAACCATATGATACCCAACTTATCGTCCATTAAGACTTACAGAAGGTTTTCATTTTAGTTTTATAATGCAGTCGAAAGTATATCCTATGAGCGGCTCATTTATGAAAGCGGCACGTTTTGATGTTCTTAAAAGCTCTATTAGCGTTTTATTTGACCAAGAAAATGTGTTAATTGCTAGCCACCGGGTATACGAAATGTATACTATTACAATTGTAAATAACAGGAAGGAGATGCTAATTTATTTTTACACCAAGTTTATACCTATACCCTTAATACCAGTAGGTAACAGAATAAAGGGTAGTAGATTATGATGGTTAATCTTAATTATAATATTGATAAATATGAATTTACCCTTGAGTCATAAAAAGAAAATATGTATTAATTTTATACATCAGGTATGAAAAACTAACCTTTATTGTGCTTTCAGGTAAGTTCAGTTGGGCTGCTAATTCCACTCTACGAGGCCTGGATACATAATTTTCTTTGAAAAACTCCTTTTCCAAACGCGCCAATTGTTCTCTAGTAAATGCTGTCCTATACCGTCGGATGTTTGGATCGTTTGAATTAGGACTAGTTGGCGTATTTTTGTTAAAGTCAGCAGAACCCACAGGACTGGCACAATCTGTAAAAAATATTATAATTGAGTATATAATTTAACTTTTCGTCAACAAATCTCAAGAAGCTCATCAAGCACGCTCATATATTAAATCATTTCTATGTGAAGTGCTTGATAGGCCCAATTAGCTCCTTTTTCAAAACAAGAATCTCGGAAAAGGAAGAAGGTCTAGACGTTTAAGTGCAGGATTTAGCATGAACAGGCCCTGTGCTGATGCTTTAAGACCACTTATAACATCTTATTAGGAAACAAGGCGACAAACTTCCGTTTTAATTATTGTTTTTATTTTGGTAGCAGAGGGGTTTGTTTTATTGCCGAATGTAAGTTTAAGACCCCACGACAAATAAATTAAGGTGTAGCGGTAGCAAAGTATAAGTGGAGGAAATACTTGGGGTATTCCTTATACTTTACTTTCGTTTTTGCTTGAGGGTTATTTCCGTCCATATTATTTAAGTATGTTATAGAGAGATACTTAGGAACGATTATTAGGGAATGGTAACAATATTATTTCTTTGCATGGACCTATAGAATCCATTTCTTAGGTAAAACTGCTATTTTCACATAAGGAAGAACAATGGAAGATTTAATTTAATTTTCTTGACAAACTGATGTTATGGAGAATACGAGGTAGGTATATTGCCGACTTTGGCTAAGTAAATTTGAAAAAAAATTCGGAAAATAATAATATGATTGAAACAAATCGCTTACCAGATCTATAGTTATTTGTTGGTGTGTTGGGGGACTGCGGTGGGCTGGGTTGACCATGATGAATACTACTGCTTACGTAATGCGGCGGAATGATATCTAAAACCACCGAACCACTAGACTGTTCCGTTTGGTGTGCAAACATTTTGAAACTTTCGTGAGAATGCATTATTGAAAAATCCACTTTTCAACTCACACCACTATAAAACTTCCACAAAACTCACAAACACAATCCGGGTTCAAAATACTACTAGCTCAGCTTATAACAAAATAAAAGCACCTCAACTCCTTTGGCTTTTCCAAACTAAATGAATGTCAAACAAAGTTTATTTCTGGTTTTTACTTGAAAAGGGAACAGGCGTGGTTAACAAAAAGCCTGGTTGGTTCCTAGGAAAACGAGCGGTGATTGGTGGCTCCGCCTTCCGTCCTTTATGCTCTCGTAGTTTAGGGAACATAATCGCTTGAGGTGTCTTTATCAACCCTAAGTAGATGTCGGAATGTATTAGGGCGATATGGGGTCCCGGTGCTCTTAAGTCCTAATGAGAAATTCTTTCCTCTCCCTCTGCTGTGCCTTATTTGGCTGTTCGTATTGATTAACTTTGTAAAGTTACTAAATTGCTTTATTTAGCGACGTTACGAAGCTTACTTTAATAAAGGGAAATAAAGCTTTATTACCAGTTTTATAGTTTAATAAAATTGCAATCTTATTTATAATATAATAAGGACGCTGGCCAAAACATCATGGAAGATCAGAAATGTTAAGTGCGCAGAATTTATTGCGACCTCTAGAGCAACCTTAAGGTGCCCTCTTCTTTTTTTGTATAACTTAAGTAGGTATGCATATATTTACTTATTCATGAAAATTTAAGTTATATGTATATAACAAAAGATATGATATAATACCACTGATCTAAAAAATAAATGGATAAACAATCATACGGCTTGATTGGCAAAATTTGTGCAAAAATTTGGGGTCAATATTCTACGAACAGTTGTGCAACGGAACAGCCTAACGCCTGCGCAGTGTCTTATCTTCCGAACAATTGTTCTAAATTTTGAATTTTCTTCATTTTCATTGGCCAGCTTTTGTGCACGCACAGTACATGTACCTACTGCGCACGCTCACAGCTGTCCCAGTCAGTTGTTTTTGTATACATTATGACCTCATAAATTAGCAGCATTAGAAGCGTTCTTTGTTTATCCATTTATTTTTGAGATCAGTGTATAATACCTATAAAAAATAGGTATCTACAAAATCTGAAATATTATTTAAGTATATTCTGTCGATTTTTATCTGATACTCCAAAGCACAATGTGAGCTGGTGGCTCCCTACGTTAGAACGCCAATGGTCACATGACGTCACACCTGATTTTGCCATAAGCCTCACCCCCTCGCTCCTCATACGGAAAGTGTCAGATTAAAAACGACGGCCAATTGACATAAGGGCATAGAAATATTCGAAAAAAAAAACAGACATAGAACAATTAGAACAAAACATTTTACAAATCCTTAAAAAAAAATCCACTAAATTAAATAGTAGGTAAGTACCTACCTAAACAACAAAAAAGACAATTCGAATTTTTCGCATAAGTTCCTAATATATAGGGTTTCCATAAAGGTTTTTCGGCATTCAAGACAAAGGAGTAAAGAAATCCTAGAAAAAAATGACAGTGTCGACATCTGTCATTGACAATACTTCACGCACTAGTGTTTAAAGTAAATTACTTTACCTAGTACATACTAATGCGTGAAGTAAAATTTCACGTCTTTTGAATAGTGCGTAAACTGAATGAGTACGATGCTTTCATGATGTCCGAGTTTTCCGGACATTGTTCCGAATTCCGGCCGGACTTCCCCGGACACCCCAAAAACCCATACATGTCCGAGTGAATCCGGACGTATGGATACCCTACTAATATAGTACCTATTTTTACTAGTAATACATCGTATTCATAACAAATATAGAAGCAGATAGGTAGGTATACCTTCGACGTAGGTACCTATATATGTGTTTTTTTTAATCTTTGATGTCATATTATATTGATAACCTATGTAGTGTTAAATATAGGTAACACTGCTTAGGTATCTATAGGTAGGGTTGTGCCGTTTGAAATTTTCAAATGAAATTTTCATGTTTGAAATATTCAAATGGGAAATTTTCAATATTCGAGATAAGTTAAATTTCACAGAAAGTACAAGTGAAATTTTCTATTTGAAATTTCCCAAACTTTGTAGAAAATTTCATATATTTCACTAAAAATTTCATATGTTTCACTGGATATTTCATAAATTTCATCGAAATTTTCAAAAATTGTACATGTTTCGTCGGGAAATACCAGGAGTTATTGGCAATAAGCAACGCCGTAACTCGCAACGCTGCTCACTGGTTGTATAATGTATTGCTGGTTGTCTTGCTTTGGATTGTTGGAATCTTTGAATCTTAATCCTTAGCTAAGGTTAGAATGACAAAACAAATTTCCAAGGCAGGTGAATTTCATGTTGAAAGCCTAAACTTATGATAAATACAGTTAAACCAAAAAACTATATTTGGAGCTACTCCACTCAACTGAATATGAAATAAATAACAGAAAGGTAGAATGTGTTATTTCTACGAGCGTGGAGGAAATGGCTCTTTCCGCAATTTTGCTGTGCGGGTAGACTTTCTTCCCGTATTGGTGCGGGAGGAGTTTGAAATAATCCCTTTGACGTCGAATTGTTTGTATTGTTGATACACCTTTACCTTTACCTTTTTTTTATAAATACTGTTCAATCAATGATCTTTTAATACATTTATAAATTTACCTTCTCCACCATCGCATTTTATTTAAATTACATTTTTCGTAACATCACTTTTAGTACGCTTGTAGAAAAAATATAGTTCCTAAAGCTTGCGGGAAGAAATTTCCGGCACTTGGGCGCTTCGCATCACAGATTCTTCGCACACTCGTGTCGGAAATTTCTCCTTCCGCACTTGTTAGGAAAATAGCTATTGTCTATTTTTACATTCGACACTTAAGCAGAAGCCCGAATAAAATGTCTGAAGAATGTCCAACCATTGTACTTATTTATTATTGTTTTTACCCTACCACCACCTCATAAACACAATACTAAAACTAATATGTAAAGTCACGTAGTTATGTCACATTGTGATATCGCAATTGTATTGTGTTGAAAATTTCATCGAATTTTATGAAATTTCACTGAAATTTTCATAGTAAATTTTGAAAATTTCATGACATTTTGGAAATTTTCAGAAAAATTCAGAAATTTTGAAAATTTCACGGAAATTTCAAAAATTTCAATATTTCCATGAAAATTTCATAGTGAAATTTCCAGATGAAGTGAAAAGTGAAATTTACCCAACCCTATCTATAGGTGATCAAAATGATACCTTCGAAGATACAAAAAAACACCGGTACATCACAATTAAGGGCGTTGGAAGATTTCCATATTTTTATGGTATGGTATGGATATTAAAAAATAGGATATACCTAATATGTAATATAAATAGGTGGTACCTACCTACCCATTATCTACAAAATCTGAAAAGTTATTTGAGTATGTAAACCTATGGACACAAATATTGGAAAAACAGCAGACAAAATACATCTAAGACATCTAAGGAAAGCCTTTATATAGCAATAAGTATTCCTTAAAGTAACTTTCTCCATGTAAAAATGTCATTTTGAGGAATAGGTACTTATCGCTAAGGCTAAAGACAGAATGACAAAAACCTAAGTAGGTACAAGTGACAGATACAAAATACCAGAAATTCGAAATTTTGTATCCTGGCGTGGCAAGTGAATTGTATTGTGTGCATTTATTCTGGGTCATAGCATTGATACACATGTTATTAAATTTCTGTCTCTTTGTCACTTGTACCTTGTATTTGCCATTGTGTCTTCAGTCTAATGTCCCAGTCTCACTTGCGCGAAAATCGCTCTTTTTTGACATTGCTTCCGAATTCATTGCTGCAAAAAAGAGCGATTTTCGCGCTAGTGAGAATGAGGCATAAGGCTTCCTTAAAATGGTCGATGCAAACGGCCATTGAACTGACATATTTCTCCATGGAAGAATGTCATTTTTATAGCGGGTATTATAAAACTATTTTGACAGAATAACTTAAAGTTAACTTCTGGAATGGCGTTACTTCCCAAAGTAATTCTCGAAGTAGCCACATACATAATATGTCCCTGCGACTACGTGTTAACCAAATACAACGTCGCCAGAAGTGCAGATAAATGACCGTCAATGATTTTTCGTTGAAATTACGTTGTGCAGTCGTCCTTAATATGTGGTCAAGAAATCGGACCTTTGTCATAAATGAAAACCAATTTCAACGTTAAATTGATTACGTCAGTTCGTCGTCATTTTGTATACTTCTGAAACGTTTCTTAAACGTCGTCTAATACGACCAATCATAAGGAAAGATTAAAAATCGTAAATTGGACGTTATAGCAAATATTGTACCACATTCAACGTTGAATTGAAGACAATCCTTCGTTATCTTTATATCCTGTGACCTCTGAAACGTTTTAAAAACGTCGTCTGATACGACCAATAATAAGGTCAAACAGAACTCCGGCCAACGTTAAAATTGAACGCAGATAAAATTTGGTGCAGTCAAATAAAAACATAAACAAACAATAGATATGACATTGCTATAAAAAAAAATTCAAGAATTCAAATAAATATTTTTGGATTTAGTGAAAAGGGAGGAATGTACTCCAAACATCAAAGAAATGGAGCAAGAACGGAAATTGGAAGAGAAACCTCTGTAATTTCAAATCAGGAAATTAAAAAAGATTCAATGAATGTCGGGTTAAAAGAAAATATTTCAAGATTTTGGACATCAAAAATAAAACATTTACAGTATCCTGTAAAATTTTTAATAAATGAGAGCGAGAGCTGATTACCATAGGTTACCATGGGGACCTATATCTACTCTAGGTTTATGTTGGTACTATTTTATTACCTATAGTCCTATTATGCTTATACAGATTAAGTCCATTTTCATGACGAAAACACGCATTAGGTTAGGATAAGGTGCAGATTATTAAGTCGACCATTTTATATATCGCAAGGTCCTATCCAATTGTTCGCCATTCCTGCACGTTTAATAAAAATTAAATAATATCTGAAAA